CCCGGGGAGCTGCGCCGTGTGGGCGAGGCGGGCTGCCCGGCGCTCCGTGCGGTGCCCTTGCTGTGTTTTTCCTCCTCCCCCGCAGGTCTCGGTAATCAACACCGTGGACACCTCCCATGAGGACATGATAGTAAGTGCTGCTGCGCGGGAGGTACCGGTGCAGAGCGGGGCCCGTAGGGTATGAGACGGAGAATGCCGTCTGAAATCCTGATGGTGGTTTATACTGTGCACTGGAAGGCGTAGCTACCGGGAGAGGGTGGATTTAAAACTTTAATTTTCACATCTAGGCTTGTTTCTGCTCGTTTCTATTGAGCAGTACGTATGCGTGCACTGAAGGGCACAGAGCTGCAGCAGGTGACGTCCTTTAGGTGGATGTTTCCAGGAGCGGGCGTGTAGGTATGGGTAGAGGAAACATTTCAAAGCCATTTGTAGGAACAAGGAGCCCAGTTAGGTAATGAGGTTTCAAACACAAATAAGAGGTGTCAGGGCTCTTGCACCCACTTTACATATTAAGAAACAAAACCATGTAACTGGTCGAGGCTTTATAGTCAGTGGCACTCGTTTCCTGCCCTCTCCTGAAAATGCTGCACGTTACTGCTCTGAATTCCTGAGTTTACTTCTGCGTAACGCTTGTATAGTTAGTGAAAACAGCAAGTGGGGAAATAAATTATTTAAGTGGCTTGGCTGGGTTGTGTAAAAACTGACAGCAGCTTTTCCATCACCTTATAGCACGATGCTCAGATGGACTACTATGGCACTCGGCTAGCGACCTGTTCTTCGGACAGATCCGTGAAAATCTTTGATGTTCGGAACGGAGGGCAAATCCTCATTGCGGACCTGAGAGGGTAAAGTGTCCTAAACAGAAGATTTGTATCTGTGGAGATGTTTAATGCTTTGTCATGTTGCCTTTTGGTAACGTAAGATCATGGCACGTTCCTCCACGGTAGTAATGACTCTGGCTGGTTGTTGCTAAACAGCTCATGGGAGGGGGCACAGAGAGCCGGTTAGAAACGACACTGGGACTTTTCATTCTTAAATACTTGATGCCTGTAACTTTCCAGAAGTAGACTCACAGGCTGAATCGCTAATATAGGGATAAACGTTTGGAATTGTTTTTGACAGCAGTGGCTTTGTCTGACAGTCCCGTCTGCTGTTTTCCATCTTGGCATCCCTTGTCCTTCACCTCGCCTGCAGAGCGCTGGTTTACAGCAATGATGGGCTGTGAAAGAGCCGCAACTGGAATGGGTTTGTCGCGGCTGTTCCAAGCAGCGTTGTTTCTTGCAGGCACGAAGGTCCCGTGTGGCAGGTCGCCTGGGCTCACCCTATGTACGGAAACATCTTGGCTTCCTGTTCCTACGACAGGAAGGTTATCATCTGGAAGGAAGAAAACGGCACTTGGGAGAAGACGTATGAGTACACAGGGCACGATTCCTCAGGTGCGTGGGGTCTGGAGCTGGGAAGTTAGACTGGGGATGCGAGAGGATTCGGGTAAGATTGGAATAAATCTGTCAGCATTGAGGAAGAAAGCCTCCATCAAACAGATGGGGATAAATTAGCGGAGAGACGGTAAGTCTGCTCAGTGTAACCAGAACACATACGTATGGTCATACTGCGGGCTAACCTCCTGTCCCGATTCGTACTGTGTTCGTGCAGGAGTTGTTCTACAAATACATTTGCTTTCAAATAAACAAGGTGTTAGGCTACTGAATTTCTGAGGAAAATACTGTACGTACCCCCTACAGGAAGAAAGGGTGAAGGTGGATTTTAGCACGCTGTGTTTTGGTTTACAATGGGAACTGTTTTGTTTGGATGATCAGTACTCCTGCACGCAGACAGGAGAAGTCTCCAGCCTTGCTGTGTTACTGATCTAGACTTTGAATGCTATGCCTGCCTTTCAGCTCTTGTTCTGCAGGCAGCGGTACTCTTCGCTGTTGCAGGGGACACTCACAGTTTCTCATCTCTCACTAAGAGTGCTCTTTTGGTGTCACATTCTAAAAGGGTGCCAAAAATAAAGGCAGGTTTCTGTCATTCAGTAAACAGTGTTAATTGACTGGCTTTGCTGAAGTTCAGGAATGGTTACACTCTTATTCTTGGCTTTCAGAGCTCCTTGCTTTTAGTGACTATTCCACTAATACTAGTCCGTGGATCGGTTAGTCCATTTTGGGGGTCGCTGTGTTGTAATCCAGTCTGTCTCGCCCTTCACAGTGAATTCCGTCTGCTGGGCACCCCATGACTATGGATTGATCCTGGCCTGCGGGAGCTCCGACGGGGCCATTTCGTTATTGAGCTACACGGGGGACGGGCAGTGGGAAGTCAAAAAGATCAGCAACGCACACACGGTACGTCTGCTCCTCTAGAGCAGCACAGAGTTCTTGGAGCCACTGACAGCACTGAGCTGATGCCTCGGAGAACTTGTAGATGAGATAAATACTTACCTACCATGAAACGATGTGACACCGTTTCTGGAATCAAGAAGAACTTGTTTTAAATTAATCCCGAAGGGAAGGTATGCTCTGCAGCCGCTGAAATGAAGTAGAAAACAAGACGCGAAGGTGATGGAACAGCACTGATAGTACCTCTTCAGTAGGCATGATGGTTAAACACAGTGCTAGAAGTTACCTGGTGGGAAAGGGCTTTGGTACTAAGAACACTTGCCCAAGCTGTGAATAAAGTGAAGCTGGAAAAACTGCAGGACTCCTGTTTTCCCCAAAATAGTGGGGATGTGTGCTTAAGCAGAACTTCATAAGCTAATGGCAGTGGCTCCCAATTAAAGGAAACTGGGCTCCAGACCAGAGGTTCCTTCTACTCCTGCATTCCTAAATCTTAGCAACTGCATGTGTCTTGTGTCCTTTCCATTTGTATCCATCTCCACTGTTTACATAGCCAAGGTGATATCTGCACATAAACCAGCTACTTGGCTACCTAAGGCTTTCTGAGTAAGTGCTGTATTGAGACTAGGCTGTCTCTGTATTTCTTACTCATCCGATGTCCACCCAGCATTGTGCCAGGCTCATGTTGTCCTAAGGTGGGCTTATTCCCTCCCAACAGAGAGTATGCTGGGTATCCTCTGTCCCCTCAGCAGCTTTTATGTATCTATTTAAAGTAAGCAACTTCTAATAATGGTATTTTTTCATTAAACAGATTGGATGTAATGCAGTTAGCTGGGCTCCTGCTGTTGTACCAGGAAGCCTTATAGAACAACCATCTGGTCAGAAACCAAACTACATCAAAAGATTTGCATCTGGTGGCTGTGACAACCTTGTCAAGATCTGGAAGTAAGTGCTCTGTTGCCAGACTTAAGAACTTATAAAACCTGATAGCCTTTGAATGTCCCTGTTAGTATCTCAGGCAATATTTTCAGCATCTCTATGCCTTCATCTTTGAATTACCATTTTAGAGAGGTGCTTTCAAAATGGAGACAACTTGGTGATATACAGTCATCACATGGTTACAGCCATTTGTGTCAGCCCTGCTTCAGCTTCTCTTGGGAAGTGGCTTTCTCTTTGTCTTTGGTTACCACTGTCACTTGGACAACAGCAGATTTCTGTACAGTAACTGAAGATGAAATACTCTTTGCCTGTGCTGCTTTCTGTACCCTGGCAAGGATTTTGTCAGTTTAAGCCATAGAGTGTTTTGGAGAAGAGTGGGGAACACTTGTGCTTTGTATTATCTGGATAAACCAGGAGTCTTAAAGCTACAAAGCCAAAGCCTTCCAGAACAGGAGAGGAGAGAGATGAACGGCTGCTGCTGCCACCCTTCTGATGTTTAAATGTGCTTTCAGGGAAGAAGATGGTCAGTGGAAAGAAGAGCAGAAGCTGGAAGCTCATAGCGACTGGGTTCGAGATGTAGCCTGGGCTCCCTCCATAGGATTGCCAACAAGTACCATTGCTAGCTGCTCACAGGTGAGGGTTCCCACAGAGAGCACAGAGGCAGGCTCTCGGTACCCTTGCTCCCGTTTACTAGGGAAAAGGGGAAGGAAGGAAAGGGATAGTGAGGATAGAACTGCTGTCACAGCTCCTCTCGGCAGCCCTTTGCTACCTCTGGGCCTGGGCATAGGAGCCGTTGATTCCTTTTCTTCCCAAAGGCGGAAGCCCAGTGGAAGCATTTCTGGACGAAGGTTTGTGTGGGGGGGGCTCTGTACCAAAGACTATCTTTTGTTTCGAAACCACGAGCAGGATGGTCTCACTATGAAGGTGACCTTCAAACTTACATTGTATTTTAGTGTCTCTGGATCAAGTTCAATGAACTTCCAGATAAAAGTAGTTTTCTAATAACTGTCACTCCTAATGTCCTCAGCCTTCATATTGACTGTAGTGTTCATGCTGCTAGTAATTCTGTAAGTGCTTTTTTTAATTCATCAAGACAACTACTCAGTAGGCTGCTAACTTGCTGTCATGTGACTGGAAAGCAAAGTCTCATTCTGGGGGAAAAACTTCAGCTGATATATATGTATTTTGGGGGCTCTTCTCTAGTATTTGCAAGTTGTCTTTTGTATGTAGTTTTTTCTCAGCAGGGAGCTGTACTCCTGTCTTGCTTTTAGCTATAGGAAGGAAACAGCCCCTTTGCTGTGGTGAGCAAAAACCTGTGTAGGCACATCTAGGGTTTGCGTCGGAGCTGTGATTATTTGGAAGTGAAGCCCTAAGTGCAATCAAGGTGGTTTTTCTGTGTGGTCACTAGAGGTCCAACACTCTGCCTGCTTGCTGTTGTAGGATGGCAGGGTGTTTATCTGGACATGCGATGATGCCTCTGGAAATTCCTGGTCACCAAAGCTGCTGCACAAGTTCAATGATGTTGTCTGGCATGTGAGTTGGTCCATTACTGCAAATATTCTTGCAGTGTCCGGAGGAGACAATAAAGTGAGTACTGCTGACATGGTTCTACCCTGTGTTCAGAAGGGCCAAGATGAGACAGGCTATTATTGCTTCTGGTTAACTTGAGACTGTTGTAGATTCTCCTGTGCTGCAATGGTGAATTTTTTTCTTTTGACTCACAGAGGGGAAGACCCTAACCTTTGGCAAACTACTTGCACTGCATTCTTAGTCCTTACCAGGGATTAGAAATGGAGGGTTAACTTTATTTTGTAGGGTACTAACAGCAGAATTCACAGGATGATTATTCAGCATACAGCAACAGATAGCTTGATACTCACAACAACGCTGCAACACTTGGCTTCTCTACCTGTAGACTGTCACCAGACTAGTGACGTAATGGTTGCGAGGAAATGGGAAACAGATAATGTATTAAGGCTGAAACTTCTTCCTGGTCTGTTTTTGAGGTCACGCTATGGAAGGAATCAGTAGACGGCCTGTGGGCCTGTATCAGCGATGTCAACAAGGGCCAAGGAGGGGTGTCTGCCGTCACAGAGGGGCAGCAGAACGAGCAGTGATGCACGAGCCAAGGTTCCAGCTGCAACAAGTGATCGCTGTACCTGATTTGCAAGGTTTCTTGAACAGGACGAGAACTGATTTTATCTGAACTGGACATGAACATGGGAAACAATTATCCAATTTTATGAGCACTCTATAGCTATTGCTGAGAGGCTACAACACGTTGATAATCAGCCTTAATTGACATTCCCTTAAATTTACAGTAAAGAGCATAGCAAAGTACTGTGCCTTATACTGCTCCTTGATGCTGTAGAAATTGCACCCTGCTTCCCTGGTTCAGGGGTCAAATTTACTTGGATCATGCTGTGGTCAGACTTCAACCACTTGAGTAGGAACAGGAGGCAGCTACCAACATGGTGAGGTGTGAACTCCCTTGTGCAAGGGGACAAATACTCTGTCCCTTCAAAGGCCAGAACTTTGTTTGAAGTGAGGGGAAGGGTGGGTGGGGTCTGGCATTAGGTGACAGCACGGTAGCTAGCCCTTCTGGTAGTGGTGGAATGGCGCTTGGATCTTCCTGAAAGTGGCATGCTCACATAGGGGAAGTGTCTGTGCTTTCCCGACAGTGAAAAGGAGCGGTGGAATGCACAGGTCTTTTGGCTTTACAGAATCTCACACTTGGTTATTTAACCAACATGAATAAATCAGACCATAATTGGAAGAATTTTTTTTTAGCCATGCTTCTGTACTGTACCTCAGGTTTTTTTTTTTGTTGAGATACCAACCGAATAAAGTCCTATTGGTTAAAGCCTGGTGTGCTGCATTTAGTCTTTTCACAGGGGCCTCTCAAGGCTGCCCACAGCCTGCTTTCAGTGAGGCCACAGCCACGGTGTCCTCCCATCCATGGCGTTAGCCTTGCAAGAGCTGGGAAGGTGTTCATCCCCCAGGCACTAACACTGTATGTAGTGTAAGAAAGAACGTTTGGCCTTCAGTTAAACTACCGTGTCACTGCACTTCAGGCAAGTAGAGTCCATTTCAGTATGCCTGCAGCTAAGGCTGAAGCATGTCACTGCACTTCAGGCAAGTGTATTAGGCTCAGAGTGCATTTCAGTATGCCTGCAGCTAAGGCTGAAGCACCCTTCCCCTCCTCCTGCAGGGAAAGTCCTTAGCTAAAAGGTCCCATTTTCCCCTTACTCTTCAGCTGCACTCAAGCAACACAAGTGAACAATTCACAACCTTCCTCCTTTTCCAAGGTAGCGGGTCCTAGGCGTGCCCTTTGTTTTGGCATGGTCAAGATAATATACCCCCTTTTCTAGAGAAACAAACCTTGCTTTATGATGGTTATCTCTACTAACCAAATAATACCCTAGTCGCTCTCCTAGAAACCCATCCATGAATTACCTTTCTCTATACCAACAGAAGTATGCAACATTCCTGGTCTTGTCTAAATGCACTGTAGCCTTACCCAGAAATGAATCAACCCATCTAGAAACTGGCATCACATTCAGACAGTTCCATCTCAAATTACACAGCAAGGCACTGCTTTCTTTCAAGGTATTTTCTGTTTCTACTACCACAGTGACTGCCAAGCTGAACAGCAGCCCTTCATTGCCAGCACTGTACCGACCTGATCAGCTACACGGGTTTTGGGTTGGCTTCAAGTGCTGGGGAAACAACACACGCTTGAGATCAAGCACATTAGCTCCAACAAAAAGGCTCAAAAATGAAACCTCATTCTTAGCTGTTACCACACTCCATCTAAGGAAGAGGCACTAACTCCTTAAGTACAGAAGAAAAGTTTTTGCTGGTGCGGGTACTAGATTCCACAACTCACCATGTTAAACGTTACACTTACATTTTATGGATTTTAATATTTAAAAGGAACAGTGTTAATGCCACAGGAAACAAGGAAACTCACGTCATTCTCTGCACAATTTCATTATACACAAAAATAAGCACCGCAACAGATCTATGCACGGTTTTCACTTTTTTGTTGATTTTGTTATCTTACAAGCAGGCCCAGTTTCCAAGGAATTTAAACACATATCAGACTGCATTTCCAGCGATACTGTAGCACAGAACAAACACTCCACTCAATATATAAAGCGCTTCAGAAAACAGCTGTTTGGTGAAGCCACGAAACCAACCAGGTAAAGTTTCATTTTCAGCTTTTGCCAGTTTTCCTGTGTAATTCTTCTCCACTATCCTGTCTGTTCCAGTTACTGTATCTCAGTTACAGAAGAGAACACAGTAAGCAATAGTCTCTTTTGGACAGGATATTTTTACCTTTAGCATATAAAAATTGTTTGCTTTATACATCCATTTTTAGAAATAATTTCAGGTCATTCAAGTCAGGAGAAGTATTTTCATGGGATCTGGATTCAATTAAATACAGAGGTTGTAAAATATGTTTAATTTTTCAGTCTCTGTTTTCAGGTTTGACACCCTGCCTCAGAAAGACAATCATGTTTCTCAGAAGTCCTCTGCTGGGAATGATTCTTTTCAGCATCCTCTGGACAGAAACTACTCTGGCTGGCTCTAGTTTTTTAAGCCCTGAATATAAAAAAATACAGGTAAAAAAATTCAGCAAAATACTTTCTTAAGATTATCCTCCTCTTTAAGTCCTTAAGCCAAATATTCTTTACAGTGTTCAGAGAAGCTGTTAGAAGATACAGTTTCTGGAAGAGGAAGGAGTTATTCCAGAAAACTTCTGTAACAAGCCGTTAGCATTGCATTCATGCTATGAGAATATGTATCTGATCTCATTCACTAAGAATTAATAACCTGAAAAAAAGAACAATTGAAGAGAAAGCATTCATTTAAATAATTTGTTGGCATCTTCTTTGGAAATGAACTGTAAGGTGCTTGATCTTTAATGAACCCTTAAACCAAGTACCTACTAAAGAGAATGCAGCAAGAGCAGTACAATCCTGACAGACCCACATATGTATCACACATACAGCGTAGGGTGCCTTCAGCTAATCTGCTCCATCTGTGTTAATTATAAGTTCTAATTTCCCCACTACAGACTCGTTTGATTATGGAAGAATATATAGCTATTGTTTTGCTTGCTTTCTAGCAACAACAGAATCCAAGGAAAACCACAGCACAATTACATCGTCGAGGCACGGAAGGCTTTCAGGATAGAGATGAAGCAGGGGCAGAAGATGACAGAAGCAGCATTGAAATTAAAGTTTGTATTTATTTCTCTTGCTCACAGACAAGTTTAAGGGGTGGGGTTGGCTAACACAATTTCTGTTCCAGGAGGCAGTACAAATTAAAACTGCAATCATATTTAACTTGAAAGGCAAAGGGGAAAGGGCACATGAAAGCTGCCAGCACGGATGGTATGAAAGGATTTAAAATGAGCTGCAGTAAGTCAGATCAGAATCTCCTATTTAGGGTTCCTTACATTTCAGAACTAACATATAATAATTGTACAGTTTTCTTTCCTCCCCAGTTTACTGTGCAGTTTGGTCTGCAGTAACTGCACGCCCCGATTCTCAGATTTTGATGGCACATCTCAGCACCAAGTGAATAGATGGAATAGGTTTTTATACCTCTTGCTTACCATCATTCCCATGAATAAAATGAACTTGCAGCGTCCTTGTCCAGAGCTTGTCTGTTAAACTCTGCCTTTTAACGTTTTTATAGTTCAGCGTTCCCTTTGAAATTGGTGTCCAGATAACAGAAGAAGAGTATCAAGAATATGGACAAGCACTGGAGAAGATGCTGGGGGACATGCTTGAAGAGAATGCTAAAGGTACTGCCAACCGAGTCATAAAAGCAGAGCTTTTAAAAAAAAACAAACAAACAAAAACAAACAAAAAAACCTGAGACCCCCAAACAAAACCACCAACACCACAAACCAAACAACTCTTCTCATTTAATTTGTTACATAAGATGTTCAGAGCATCATTTCAGAAGTGGCTGGGACCGAGTCACCAGGATGAGAACCGCTAACGCATGTGATGTTCACAAACTGCTAGCTGAACTTTGAGGAATCATGTTAAAGTATATCAGGCAGAAGGGGAAGGCTTCCTTTCCTTACGCTACTGATCTTTTTTTCCCCCTTGCCCTCAAATCCCAGCATTTCCTTGTTTTCTCAGCTAGGACCTTCACAATTTTCATGGTGACAAGTATTAAAACCACTATTGTAACTAAGATAGTCCTAGCAGATTGACTGATAACCAAAGTCCTAATGACCAGCTCTCACCACAAGCTGCCTGGTTGTCACCTTTACAGCCAGTCATGCTTTATTCGTGCTCACCCATGTTAAGCTGATCTTTCCAAATCTTCTGGTTTAATGTTTCTGTCAGTTTTCGGATCTACATTACACATTCCAACTACAAATCGCCTCACGCTTCTGCTTTCACCCGCTTTTCAGGCTCCTCAGACTTCCCCCAAGCTCCTCTCCCCATTTCCCTCTGTCTTATTTGTGTAACAGCCATAGAAGCAGCCCTTCAGTCCTATGCATACGTGCCCTGAGGGAACGTAACTATGTGAAAGGCACCTTCTGCCTTCGTTTGAGCACTTGCAGAACTTTGAGAGATTATCAAAACAGGATTTTCAGAAAAATACTAAGACTATCAAAATAATCTTTATCTTTTGCCTTTTTAGAAACTCAGATGAAAAACTGAGGCAACATGAAGGACCAAGACAGCACTAGAGGCCTGATTTGTTTTAAATTTTGCTTTAAAATGAAATTATTACCAATTTCATAACTCTAACGAAGAAAGAAGTATGTGAACCTCAACAGTTCGCCCTGACAGAATGGATTTCAGAATGGATTTGGAATGGATTATCTTTTAAGGAAGAATACAAAACCTAGAGCCAAAAATGATACAGGGCAAGGTTAATCACAGGCTGACATGTAGGCTTATTTTCTTATTTTATCTCTTTTTCTTCATAAATATAGTGATTATTCTAAATGACGTGTTTGAAGGCTATATGAATCATTTCTAAAACTGGTGGAAACCTCTTCTTACAGTTCTGTACACATCTGTAATAGAGAATAAAGCTTATGCTGAAACTGCAAGTACTTGCAGAGTTGTTTTTTGTTTGTTTAAGTGTAGCTCGAACTAGATTGTTCATGTCATAAACTACACAAACTAGTTGGACAAGGACTCAGCTTTCAGTTGCCAAATTACCTTGATTGCCAAGGGATGTGTTAGTATGGATCATATCAAGGAAACCATCTAATATCTCTTTGAGTTAAAAAGAAAACGGAAATTAGTTTTCAGTTCACTTGCTTGGGTTCAGAAGGATATCCATGCTGGTGCGTACGTCAGAGGTACAAGGTAAGTTTTCCTGCCTTTGCACAAACCAGCACGCTCCAATGCAGCACGTGCTCTTGGCTGT